ATTTTTTTTTAGTACTAAAAATAATATTTTTAATTAAAATTACAATTGTATTTAGTATAATTAAAATTAATATTTTTAATATTTTTATAGTATAAGTAATAATTACAATTGTAAATTAACATAATAATATATAAAATAATATTTTATATATTATTATGTTAATTTACAATATTTATACTATATAAAATATGTTAATTTATATATAAAATTACTAATATACTTTTATGATGAATAAAAATTATTTATACTAATATATAAAAAAATTATATAAAAATTATATTAGTAATTAATATAATGAATAAAAATTATTTATACTAATATAGTAGGTACTATAATTATTAGTACAATTATACTAAATATTAAGTACTATATTATTATATATACTAATTATTAGTTTATAAAAAATTAAATTAGTATTTAGTATATATTATAAATTAATAGTATAATTTATTCATCACATTTAGTATATTAGTACAATTTATTCATCACATTTTTCTTTCCCTTTATTTTTTTTATTTCATTATTCATCATATTTTTTTTCCTTCACATTTAGTATATATTATAAATTAATAGTATAAAATTACATTAATTGTTATAGGAAAAAAATATATTAGTATAAATTATTAAGTTATATATATTAATTAAATATCTTATAAAATAAAATTTATTGATATTACCTTAGAAGTTAGAATTGATTATATAATAAATTACAAATTATTATTATTAGTTTGAGATAAGTTATAATTTATTATTTTCGTAAAAATATTAACATACATCGTAACATATTGCAGGTTCCACTCGAAGATTTTGGAGGAGACGGTGAAGATTATCGAGCTTGTTTCGTTACAGATGAGTTATTTGATAATCCCGACAAAGCTATTGAATGGGAAAAAAACATTGCAATAATATGGGGTTTCCACTTGGTCATCTCGAGACACAATAAGGATGGAACGGTTCGGACGTTGGGGTATGATCGAGGGGAACGTTACAGGGGCAAGACAGGAAAACTAGAAAATTTAGTGAATGCTGTCTTGAGACGTTCAAAGACGAAATATACTGGCTGTCTTTTTCAGTTAAATGTGAAATTTGAAGAGGTATCTCAAAATTGGTGTATCTGGCTTCCTTTAGAAGATGAGAAGGGATTTCATAATCATGCGTTGACTGTGTATCCCGAGGGTCATCGACAAATCAGCAGACTCAGCGATTCATCCAAAGAGATTATCCGTGACATGAGTGATGCTCAGGCAAGACCAGCAGCAATTTTGGCTGCAATTCAGGAGAAAAACCCTGTGGACAACGCTACTTGCCAACAAGTTTATAACTATAAAGCTCGATTGCGAAAAGACCATAAGGGGGGTCGAGATATTGCTGGCCAGCTTCTGCATTTGGCTATCGACAACAACTACGTAGTTTACCCAGACGTTGACCCGAACACACAGGCGTTGACACGTGTGTTCATGTCGCATCCACGAGCAGCCAGCCTACTCCGGACATATTATTGGTATGTCGGTATAGATTCCACGTACAAAACCAACAGATATGTTACATTACTTTATAAATCTATGTAAATATAAAAAGATTTATTAATTAATCGGTCAAAATAAAATTTGAAATTGCATGTCCCAGATTTTCTTATAATTTTGGATTGGTTGTAAGTAGGGATATTTGAATAAAAAAAAAGAATGAAATTGTCAACAATTGCGGCTTCAGTTGTCCGAGATTCTTTAAAAAAACTTCGGTTGATGTTGTTACAAAACGAAAAGGAAATAAATATAATATGGTTCTATTAAAAAATCAATAAAATCTGTAAAAACATAAATCGGTCAAATATTATTACATGATAGTTTAATTAAATATTGTTTTTGAGATAAACATTCGAAATTGTTTACGATTTTTATTCACATTTTAATTAAATAGTGTTAATGATTCGAAATTGTTTACGATTTTCATTTGCACAGGAACCAGATGTCGTTGGTTGAGATGATTGGAATGACGCCGTGCAATAAGAACTTCTTAATTGCTTATGCAATTGTGAAGGACGAGACCGAGTATAGCTATGACTGGGTCCTACAGCGGTTGAGACTGATGATAGAGTCTGATAAACAGCCTTCAGTCATTGTAAGTGATCGGGAGTCGGGGTTGATTACTTCTATTCAGAGGAATTTCCCAACGACGCCCCACTTACTCTGCACGTGGCACATCAACAAGGACGTGGAAGACAAGGTCTATCGACTGACGTACAAAAATAAGATCTTCGTTCAGAAGTTCACGCACGACAAGTGGAAGAAGGTTGTCGAGGCGAACACGTGGGAGAAATACAAAACTGCCGTAGAAGATATGGCTGTTACATACGCACAGTTTCATCGTGTGCTGGATTATGTGGATAAGAAATGGCTAGCGCACAAGGAGAAGTTTGTCAAAGTGTGGACGGACACTGTCTTACATTTTGGCAACACAACGTCGAGTAGGGAGGAGAGTTCCCACGCTACGTTGAAGCGGTGGCTTGAAACGTCCACCGGTTCGCTCGACACAGTTTGGGAGAAGATTGACAAGGAGATTGAGTCTCAACTGACTAAATTCAGGTATATTCTTTAAGTTTTACAATCAGACTGTTTTTGTTATTAATGCATTAATTATAAAAAAATATGTAGTATTTATTTCGTTTTTTTTAAAATATATATCTAAAATATATATAGATATATATTTATTTAATATATTTTAAATATAAAATATATATATATATATAATATATTTAATATATATTTATTTAATATTTATTTTTTTGCTTCTTTTTCGTTTTTTGTGTTTTTTTTCGTTTTATTAAAATATATATATATTTATTTATTTAAGAAAAATATTAAGAAATAAAAATATATATTATTATATATTAATAATGAAAACATTTTAAGAAATAAATATATAAATATTATGTATATATTAATTATTAGAATATATTAATAATTTAAGTTATGTATTACCAGGGAGACGCTGGAGTCTTCGAGACTCAGGATGAGTATGGGCTACAGGGGATTCCCTTTCGTGCAGTTGAAACTACGAGTCTCGCATTCTTCTATGGATATATTGAATGATGAGCTTCATAAGATGCGAGACTTCGGCAAAGATGTTTCTGATCTATGCGATTGTGCGCTAAAATACACTCATGGACTTCCTTGTGCCTGTGACCTAAGGGAGGCACACACTGAAGGTAGAGAGATTACGCCCAACGACATCCACAGGTTCTGGAGCACACTAGTGGTGACGGAGCCAGGTATACTTGCAAAATTAATAAATTTATACAACATCATGTAAAGAATATAATTTTATTAAATATTTTTTAATTTTTTTACGGCACGTATTGCTTCATTTATAGAATTTTTGATAGATCATATTGTATAATTTTTTATATTTTCGGTACGGACAGGTCAGCAGAGTGCATCGACGAGTGGATGGACTGATCATGATTATTTTCGGCGGCTTGCCGAGGAGGTTGAAGCGGTCGATCCTGCGACTATACGGTACCTGAACCTTGTCATCGCCTCTCAACTTCATCCTGATGAACAGGGATACAAAGAACCTGAAGTTAAGGAAAATCCGAGAGGTCGCCCCAAGAAGAAAAATTCAACAAAACGCGATCCATCGAGTTGGGAGTACACTGTTGGAGGCTGTACGGCGGGGCGTAAAAGCACTTCTTCGTGTGCTCCATCGCAATCGGGGTACACGGAAACAGGTCGTAAGCCGGGGCGTAAGAGCACTTCTTCGTGTGCTCCGTCGAAGTGGGAGTACAGGGAAAGAGGTCATCCGGAGGCTCGTACAAGCACTTCTTCGTGTGCCCGGACATACTCATCGTCTCAAGATACGACAAGTAATTTTATTTTATTTTATTTATTTGAACGATGACTAATTAATATTATAAATTCGATTATGTAAATTGTGACGTGAAATTATTCTCATATTACAGATACTTTCGAGACTCCTTTCTTCCAATACCGACATTGTCACAGGATTCCCTACGTAGTTCACAGCTACGTACAGAGTTATCTGGATGTGACAGCGGATGGGAACTGCAGATTTTGGGTGGTTGCTAGTTACATTCATAGGGATCAGCATATGTGGCAATTGGTAAGAAATAATATTGCAAATGAGGTTGCAGCCAACAAAAAATTGTACGTTCCATTTTATTGGAATGGGGTCGACGCTGCAATCGATCGTATAAGATGGGACGGGGGTCCTTGTGGCCACGAGCATTGGATGGATGCTTTTGGCGACATCTTTGCTATTGCTACACTGTTTAATGCAGTTGTTGTGTTGTTAGGCTATGGTCCTAACGGTAACAATATCGGCATGGCCAGTATGACGGTATTTTCGCTCCGCGCAGCATCCGCGGCTACACGACCTGACCGTGAGATTGTCATAGGCCATCTTGGTTCCTACGAGCACTTCATTCATGTGAATATGTGTTCTGATTTTCCATTCCCGCCTATGTGCATGTTTTGGGAGAGATATCGAGATGTTTCGCTTCAATATTCGCCGGATTAGTACTGGAGCAGGTTCCAGTTGTGGGAAGATATTCGTACTGCAGCTTGAATTTGATATATTATGATATTTGACATTCATCATATTTTCATGCATTGTGATTGATATATAGTATGATACTTAGCCGTGTTTATCGTGAGTCGTGTGGCATATTTCGGCTTATGTTTGCGATTTTTTTTATTTTTTTTTTTATTTTCATGCTTTACGAGTGATAGATTGTGATATCTCGCCGTGTTGACCGTTTCACGTGATATAATAGGAATTTTTTTTGTTTGGATAAAAATAAAATTAACTAACCACAAAAAAAAAACATAAAACAATTCTACTAATAATTTGTTACAAAATCCAAAATAAAAAAATATTTATTACATCACTACTTCGATTTGTCGAAATAAGACTTCAATTGAGCCATTTTTTTTGCAAAAACTGCCGCCCTTTCAGGAGCAACTGCCGCGAACTCCTGATGCATATCTGATGACATGGACTCCCACTGTGCGACCCACTACACAAAGCACAAGAAAATAAAACATATACACACATTTAAATTATAAGACATAAAAAAAAGTGTAATGAACGAATACTAAATAAAATTTAGTAAACGACTTACAAAATCGACGTTGGCGCGCGCAGGGACAGCCTCGACGTCCGCCTGACTATCGGGCAAGAGCCTAGGATGAGAATACTGCTCATACCATCGCTGGTATTCATCATCGGCCGCCCCCAGATCATCTGTCGTGGTCGGAGTAAAATCAGACAAGCATACAGAATGCAACCGCGGGAACTGGCCCCAGTGATCTACTGCAGTAGTAGCTTCATGCTCGACCCTGTACATCCTAGAATTCCAACCACGAAATGCAGTGTTCGGGCGATCCATGTTGGGAGGGATGGTCTGGCAGTAGCCCAACTGGCGCAAGAAACGAATAGGCATGTACGGCTCCACAACATCCCGGTACCTAAGGCATCCGGAATAAAGGGTCCCAGGCTCCAACACATGCGGCTCGGGGCCGTATGGCAACTAGTTTACCTGTTCACATTTGCATAAAACATTTATTCGAACAATTTGAGTATTCTAAATAACTTTCAAGTAAATGTAAATAAAATAACTTAACGTACCTCGGCGGCTGTGAGTCTGTCAAGCCGCACACAGAAATCCTTGAGGCGCTTATCTGAGTTATCTGGGACGGCGGTCCTCCACAAGGCTGATCGAGCTAGGCTGCCAGGCTCAGAGGCCATACGAGCACCAGGGGGTCGGAATGTGGGGGAAATACTCATATATCCAAGACTGCAAGAGAGTCAAGCAGCCTGCCACTCCCCCCGAGTCCCCCCTGCTGGCCATACCTAAATGTCTGAATAGGTATGCTAGTGCGGCCGATCCCTGAGTAATCCCCAACTGTCTTTAGGTTCTGCATCATCTCGTACAGGATCTTGGGACTAACCCTATTACCATTCTTGTCCGTAAACAAGGTGGTAGCGAGCAACACCCACAGCCAGCCAGTCGCCACATGTTCAGCCGACCGTCTTGCGCCATTCTTCTGCAACGCAGTAAAAACAGCATCATTCGACACCAAGCCGTGACTCTAAAAGCTCGCCATCAGCCTTTCCTGGGTCACCCCCAGCAGCTCCATGCAGTACGCATGTTGTGTCATGCTGTCGAGGTCCCCTGTGACTACCGATCCGACGACAGGAACCCCCAGTATGGCCATCACGTCGTGGAGCAGGATACTCATTTAACCAAAAGGGAGGTGAAACGAGTTAGTATCCGGCTGCCATCGCTCCACAAATGCTGAAATAAGTGGAGTGTCGACGTGGTCGTGCATGCTGGAAGCCAGATGTAACAGCTCAGTCGGACGGATCAGATCTCGCGCACTGTCATCCATCCCTGCGAGCCACTCCCTCAAAACTCCGTTGGCCGACATCCTGTTTTGGCACTTCAACGTGCCTCTGAGCTGTCCAGTCCAAATTCGGGAGGCTACGTGCCCTAGAAAACTAGGGATAACACTCCCGTCGACGGGGCCACCGGGTACTGGGGCTTTAACAAGCCAGTCGTCGCACTTAGTGCGTTTGCTGCTCGCCTCTGTATTAAAATATAACAATTAGTATATATACAACATATTGTGATTGACTGTATCAATAATGCACTATTATTAAATAAAATCTATATATATATATATATATAATTGTTACCTAACATCATTTAATAAAATATTTAATAAAACTTCATTTCGATTTCCCTCCAAACTCGTTACAAACTTTATTATTATTATTATTATTATTATTATTATTATTATTATTATTATTATTATTATTATTATTATTATTATTATTATTATTATTATTATTATTATTAATCACCATATCTAATTAATGCTAAACTACTAACGAAGTAATAAATACAGTTTTTAGTATATCATATAATAGTTATTATTAAAACTAATAACTATAGTTTAAACTAAATTATATATGGAAGTTACATAAACATAAAAAAATATTATAAACTTTTTGCTGAAGTTATTTATTCTTAAATTAATATTATATATTTTTTTTTATCTTATTTAACGATTGTAAACAACAATAAGCACGTAAATCATTTACCTGATGATGAGGCTGCGCCCGTATAACGACCCCCAGCCTGTCGTGGAGGATCCACTCGGCCAATTCGTTTACCTGGACGTGCCTGTGGCTGTGGCCGGGGCTGGGACTGGGGCTGTGGCAGTGGATATGGTTGTGGTAGTGGATGTGGCTGTGGCCGCTCAGCTGCATCAAAGTCGAACTCATAGGCCTGCTCGGCATCATCATAGGCCTTCTCCTCGTCATCGTCATCATCATAAACATCATCATCATCATCATCATCGTCGTTGTCGTCGTCATCATCATCATCATCATCATCATCATCATCATCATCATCATCATCATCATCATCATCATCATCATCATCATCATCATCATCATCATCATCATTACCATCATCATCATCATCATCACCACCACCACCACCACCACCACCACCACCACCACCACCACCACCATCATCATCATCATCATCATCATCATCCTGCGAACTCCTGACTGCCGACTCGTAAGTGGAGTCCCGCCGATGAACAATACGTATAATCGGGACACGTCCAGAACTGCTAGCCATGAGGGGGCAGACTGCTGACCACTATGCATCTGAGTGGGGCATCCCGAACTGCCAGGCATGAGTGGCCCAGACTGCTGACCACTCTGCATCTGAGTGGGGCGTCCCGAACTGGCAGGCATGAGTGGGCCAGACTGCAGACCACTCTGTATCGGAGTGGGGCGTACCGAACTGCCAACCATGAGTTGGCTCGACTGCTGTCCACTCTGTATCGGAGTAACAGGATGACTCGAACTGCCAGCCATGAGTAGTGGGCCCGACTGCTGACCACACTGTATCGGAGTAACGGGAGGTCTCGAACTATCAGCCTGGGCAGTCTGTACCCTACGAGCATGAAGGAGCATCTGGTTCCTCTCCTCCCGAGCCGAAGCATTCACATTAAGACCGTGCGTGTGTCGGGGTCCAGAACCAGTAAAGTCGGCAAGATACTCATCAGCCTAAATCCAAAATTTTAAACGAATAATTAGTAAACAAACTTTTTTAATTCATTTATTTTAAAACCTTAAATTAGACAACTTAATTTATTTATCTAAATTAATTTAAATTATTAATATATTTTAATAATTAATATATATAATATAATATTTATATATTTATTTCTTAATATTTTTTCATTATTAATATATAATAATATATATTTTTATTTCTTAATATTTTTCTTAAATAAATAAATATATATATATTTTAATAAAACGAAAAAAAACACAATGAATTTGTTTTTTTTTTTTTTAAATTAGTAAGAGTATTTTAGTTATTTTAAGGTGCGATACAATGAATTTAGGTGCGGTGTTTAATAATTCGGAAAAAAAAAATGTCGCCTTGCTTCGGTTATCCATATCCATAAATATCATTTTATCTTTACGGCACTTATCATCAGCTTTCCCACATCACTATCATCTAAAATTTCCTTCTTAGACTTTTTCTTCAGTGGATATATATATATATATATATATATATATATATACACACACACTCACGGCATTTAACTGATTTACAAACGAGCACACATGATGTTAATTAATGCACTCAAGCTTTAGTACTATAATATTTGGTGAAACAAAATAAATATTAAGGCGCATGGGTAACGTGGTTGGAGGAATAAAGACGAAAAAGAAGGCCAAGATTATGAAAATCGACGGCGAGATTTTCAAGCTGAAGCTGCCGGCGACCGCCGCGGACGTGCTCGGCGGTTACCCGGAGGGATACGTGTTGCTGGAATCACAATCCGTAAAGAAGTACGGAATTCGGGCCCCGCGAATACAGCCCGAAGAGTTACTTGAGCCCGGCAAGATTTACTTTCTGGTGGATATGCCCAAGTTTCCGGAGCCGGAAACCAGAAGGGCTACTTCTTTTGCCTACATTGGCGGCGCTAAGGAGCGGCTGGATAGGTTGAAGATGGCAAAGCGGTCGGCTAGTGATATCGGGCCGGGCTCGGTTCGGGTTAAGATGCGGGTCCCCAGGGCCCAAATCGAGAAATTGATGGAGGAGAGTATAGAAAAATCATGTGAAAGGCTAAACATATTTCTTGTGAAAATAAAAGCAGATCTGCCATGTTTCTTCTTTCAGCTCAATATGCATTCATTGATCTTGATTACTTCGCA